TATCTTATCACTAACAACACTGACGCTCGCTCCACTGTCCAAAACAAACTTATATAATACATTATTTAGATTGCCTATTATTACTGGGTCTTTCCCTATATAATTTACATCATTAAATATACAACTACTTATGCGCTCTATTTGGGGGGGGTTATCTAAAGTTGCTTGATTTACATTAAAGTCAGGTTTTTGAGAATGTTTAGTATCAAAACTCGACCTGGCTTCCGGGTTTTGACCCATTAGTTTTTTGCGTTGCTTTGCTGATCGCCCGAGTTATTATCTCTATCGTCTCTCCTGTCATTGTTTTTAAAACGCGAGTTATAGTTTTTTGAATTGCGCCTATCAAAGTCATCCTCATGACTATCCGAAAAATTTCTGTTTCTACCCCTATCGTCTCCATTATCGCGTCTTGTATCCCTATAATTTTCGTTGTTATTATTACGATTATTGTAATTTCTACCGCCGCTATTACCGCTAGATCTGTTATTATTACCATTATTATTGTTATTGTAATTACGATTCCGGTTATTATTACCGTTATCGTCATCTCTAGGCCTGTTACTGTTATCTGAATTATTGTTATTGTTAAAATTGCGGTTCCTAAAATTATTACCATTATATCTGTTGTTATTGTTGTAGTTCCTATTTCTGGAATTGTTATCGCTAGCCCTATTATAATTGTTATAATTGCGGTCCCTAGTATTGTTACTATTATTATTAGGATTGCCCCTAAAGTTACCAGTATTATTAGAATTGCCTCTAAAATTATCATTATTTCTAAATGGCCTGTTATTTATGCTTGCTTTGACCCTTTCAAGCTCTTCCTTCAACTGTCTTACCTCATCGCTGCTGTTGCTTTCTCTGCTGACCCTGAGTTTCTCCATTTCCCTTTTTAAAAACTCAATCTCCTTTGCTGGGTTTTTTCGGATCGCATTAGCCACTTCATACGCCTTTACATTCTTCGTTATCTTATCTACTGACGAATTATCCAGTGAATATATTTTCCAGTAGACATCCTCTGGTAGACCTTTCAATATCAGTTTTGTTATCTCCTCTTCAGTCATTTTATCGCTCACTTGACTGCATTCGGTAACCACATTCAGAATGTATTCCTGTAAGCTCTCTTCCTCCTGTTTCTCTCTCTTATTTAAATTTTCTCTCAACAGTATTCGTTGCTCTTCTGAGTTGTAGTATTCTAAAAATTCCTTTTTCAAATCCGCCCATTTCAAATCTGCAGTTTTGGCCTCGATTCTCTTATACAATTTTTTTGCTTGTTCTCTCAAATACAGCGGAAACATTATTAGTCGTTGCGCCTCGCTCCAACCATTCGCGGCTGATATCCTATCATAAGTTTCCAGGTAATCATTAATATCTTCGGTCAGTCGACCGGAAAAACACTGCGGGGTAATACTCATTTTTACTTTGTGTGCGTCGAATACGAATCGTCCTGCCTCAGGACTTCCTTTAACACTATCGGAAAAACTAGACGCTTCCGCTGATGTAGAGGGCTTATCAGTTGCGGGCGCGTCTGTCTTATTATCAGAAGGGATTACAGTATTATCTAAAACGTCAGACGATGTGGTACTATCAGAAGTGTCAGATATGTAACTATGGGGTTTAGCTTCCAAAACCTTATCTAGATTATCACTATCACTGTCCTCGTCCGAATTATGCGCGTCTACCAAAGGATTTTGCTTAAATGTCTCCCTTAACCTATTTTTTAAGACCCCTATTAGAGAAGATACTGGCGCTTCTTCTCCTAATTGCGCTAATATATTGATAAGATCGTTTTTCGTACAGTACCGATACAAATAACCCTTCTTATCTTGTTTCAGTAAACTCATTTTTTCAGCTAATGACCTACTATGAAATTGTGATAAAGTGTACTTTGCAGTACTAACGGCTTTTAACACAACAAAGTTGTCGTATTTATGAATAGGCACACTAACAAATGGAGTTTTAATATTCCTACAAACTTGTAACGCTTCTAGAGTATTAATTTGTTTTGCCTGTTTAAAATGCTCAACTAAGTCTGATGCCGATATGTCTTGGACATCAACGTTGCGATCAAAACCTAATATTCCCCACGATCGCGAATTTATACGAATCGTTTGATTATTTTCAACCCTTTTAATATAATAATTATACAGCGTCATATGTTACATATTAATCAAAATAATAAAAATGTATATTAAAAATAAAATCGTAAATTGTATTTAAGTGTGTTACTTAATGTCCAATATGACTAATAATTGTATTATAAAATATTTACTGTATTATGTATACAATGTCATGAATTTAATAATTAATTTGCTGTATAATATGTCGCCTTATAATTTTTTAATTCTCCAAAGCAATTTGTACCCTAAATTACAAACCTCTACACAACCTGAGGGTAATACGTATATATTTAGTGTAGTTGTTTGGGGATCGTGTCCGTAGTCTCAAAAAATGGGCTCTCCCCTAGAGTAGAAATAAAACTAACGGAAAACGGCGCCTCCACCAAATTGTAACGTCGCTACTTGACTAGCTTACCAAACTAGTCTGAGTGCTCGTCGATAAGGTTAAAGTAGACGGCCCCTGACGGGAAACGGTTGGCTAGTCCGCTTTACGCCTAAGCAACCCTAAAGTCTCCTTTATAAATTTACTATATCGCCCGAGGAGCTTAACGGGCGATCACACTAAAATAACGGTAGTCGACACTCAGGTTATGCAGGCTACAAAGTATTTATTAATAACTAAAAAGCAGTGGCAAATCAATATACAAAATATGCAATATATATATATATATATATAGTCTGACCTGAATACTGGCTGGTGATGATTGGGATCAGACCGGAGTCGAGCGGTGCGCACACAGAGATGACCGGTGATAACCGTAGGCGAATTAAGGTACACAAATAATAATCAAGAAGGCTGTATGGATGCGTAGGCGCGTGATGGTAAATCTCGACTGGTTAATTAGATGATACGCGAATGTCATCTCAGTGTGTCAGCGCTCCCTACCTAATTAGGTCATTAGTGATGTGTCCATAGTTCGGGGCGCGAAGTAACGGTCGGGCTAAATGTGACCGTTACATATATATATGAATATTAATTGTAATACCCTTAATGATTTTTAGTTGCAAGCAAATGGTACACGAATGTATTTAACCAACAAGTTGAAGATCGATGAAAATGTCGTGGAAGGAAAGTTGTTCCTGTGCCTTAACAGACCACGGTTATCGACCAGAAATTCGTCACATGGTCGTTGGGTACATCAGGGTGATTTTGGTTGGATCGTCTGGCCTGTACCACCGATGTATCTGTTTCGTAGATATGCATACGAAGTGTGAGTATGTTATAGATAAACTTTACATATCGTTAGTAGTATTTCACTAATGAGTGAAATAGTAACGCATTAAGTTACTTAAGGAATATTAAATAATTACCAAGTTCAAATAATATTTTCCTGTTTTGGTGATAATTATTTGTTGATCAAGAAAAATTTAACTTCCCGTAAAGATAATTGCGCAAAATCCGTGACTTCGATTCTACAATGCTATTTTATTATTTCAATTTATATTGAAATTTGACGATTATTTATTAAGACAATTTTTTATTTTAATTTTCATTTCCATACCTGTTATTCAGCCTAATCCCCTAGGACTGAACCTGGGCAATTTTTATTTAAATAACAAGTTGTTTGAAATTATTACTTGAACATTGTATTTGTTAATATAATGCTCAGGTTCGATTGCAATATTCGTGCACCGATGGTAATCATTAATCTTGATTAAATAATTGTCGGTTTACAGCACCGAACCTGCAAGTGAATCTAACTCATTTGAGACAACAACAAGCGACTATGGAAGAAAATACAAACACCGCGGTAACAAGTTACATTTTTTAAATGACACGGCTTGGTCCTATACAAAAACGAACCGGACGAACACTTTAGTCACCGGTAATGGCCTCAGGTGCAAATTCCTCGTCAAAGCCGTTAAAAAGGTAGACTTTTTTTACGCTCGAGTCTCGTTCTGTCAAACATCAGAAAACTATCAGATTCTATACATTATATAAACTCATATTTGTTTTTCACAATCACCTTTTTTTCAGCCAAACTTATTGGACGACTACAGCAAGACGGAACCCTCAAACCTTCAGCGTGAAACAGTTTATTTATGTGAGCACTAGTCGGCCGTAGCGGATAAATACAGAAAACGCGATAATAGATGTAAGTAAAGGTTTTAGGTTTTCTTTTCGTTTTAGCTGTAACTGTCCATTTTATTTGACGTTTTACAATTATTTCCCTTTCCTTAAGTGTTCTTCAGGCGGTTAACTACTTCAAAATCATTTGTGAATTAAAAAAAAAAAATTAACGAATTTTAGTAATTATTTAAAAGTGTAAACAATTTAAAAATCAAAATAGAAGAAGAAAAGGGGGTTTAAAAATACCGTTTATGCACCTTTATTTTACACAGCTGATTAATAATATAGCTTCTTGATGACACTTCATCTTTCGACTATTCACTGAACAATTTTTTTTTTTCAAAACGCCGAAAATTTTTAATAATGCTAATTATGCCTGTACTCGAATTGCATCCAAATTTAGTTGTTTGAGAGGGTACCCTCAAGACACACATATCACTTACAGTTTTTTAGAAATTATATTCACTATTAGACTACATGCACAAGTATTCTACTCATTCTAAAAATCAATTGTGTTATCATATTTATCAACGGAACCCGTTGATAAATTGGAGGGTCGATGAATACTAGCGTTTCTCGCAGGATGGATTAATAAACGGCAATAAGTGTCAGGACGACTTTGCCTGCCAAACAGTTATTACTAGAGGGGTCGGCTGAGGTTTGTGTCACACACCAGCTCTGGCAATCGTCATTCGATCACAAAGACTTTACTCGTTCGGTCGCGAATTTCTTTTGCCCATTTTTAGTGAATTTCCTACCAAAAAAACAATTCATCATGTTCAAAATCTATATTGTCATATCGGTTGCAGTGCTATCGCTTTGGTTGGACATTGGTACCGCCACGGGTGGATCTCGGCTTCAACACGAATATACTCACGACGACTATGTTTATGCCGTGCTATCAGCAAACGTTGTCAACTTTACCATCGTCGATAAAAACCAATACGTCGAAATTACATTGTTAGTAGAAGGCGTAGGTCTCACGAAAGATGTAATGGTGCGTACGACTTCAGCTTTTAAGGGGCGTGGATCATTATGCTTCACAGATCAACAATATAAGTATGCCGACTCCGAGAGAAACTCGTTTGAAATAGTAAGTCCGACATTTATGTTTTTAATACTTCGAATATGAATAATATCGGCTTGTACATTTTTTAAATACCATCGTACCCGTGGAGCATTACTTTTAACAAAACAATTCCAGTTAGTTTAATACTGATATATTCTGTTCGTTCATATAGTATAAGATATAAAAATGTGTCAAAATTGTTTTTAGTCAGTAGTTTCGTTAGATCTAGTTTAGGTGACAATTGTATTGATAAAATACGTTGGTATAAGCTCTAAACACTTGGTCGTACTGTTAAACGTAAAAATGCTATGCTTGTGCGTTACGTTTTTTTAATTATTTTGAAAAAAAAAATCAAAAATTAATTCTAAAAAGTCGCTAAAGGTTAAAAACATTTTTTATAATTCATATTCTATTGAATATGAATCATTATAGTTGACGTCTTATTGTAACAAAAGAAAATATAACATTTGTATAAGATATTAGGCCCTCATATCTCGTCAGTTGCCTTCGCCCTATCCTTTATAAATAAATAAATATATAAAAATATATATAAATATATTTATATATATATGAATATTAATTGTAATACCCTTAATGATTTTTAGTTGCAAGCAAATGGTACACGAATGTATTTAACCAACAAGTTGAAGATCGATGAAAATGTCGTGGAAGGAAAGTTGTTCCTGTGCCTTAACAGACCACGGTTATCGACCAGAAATTCGTCACATGGTCGTTGGGTACATCAGGGTGATTTTGGTTGGATCGTCTGGCCTGTACCACCGATGTATCTGTTTCGTAGATATGCATACGAAGTGTGAGTATGTTATAGATAAACTTTACATATCGTTAGTAGTATTTCACTAATGAGTGAAATAGTAACGCATTAAGTTACTTAAGGAATATTAAATAATTACCAAGTTCAAATAATATTTTCCTGTTTTGGTGATAATTATTTGTTGATCAAGAAAAATTTAACTTCCCGTAAAGATAATTGCGCAAAATCCGTGACTTCGATTCTACAATGCTATTTTATTATTTCAATTTATATTGAAATTTGACGATTATTTATTAAGACAATTTTTTATTTTAATTGTCATTTCCATACCTGTTATTCAGCCTAATCCCCTAGGACTGAACCTGGGCAATTTTTATTTAAATAACAAGTTGTTTGAAATTATTACTTGAACATTGTATTTGTTAATATAATGCTCAGGTTCGATTGCAATATTCGTGCACCGATGGTAATCATTAATCTTGATTAAATAATTGTCGGTTTACAGCACTGAACCTGCAAGTGAATCTAACTCATTTGAGACAACAACAAGCGACTATGGAAAAAAATACAAACATCGCGGTAACAAGTTACATTTTTTAAATGACACGGCTTGGTCCTATACAAAAACGAACCGGACGAACACTTTAGTCACCGGTAATGGCCTCAGGTGCAAATTCCTCGTCAAAGCCGTTAAAAAGGTAGACTTTTTTTACGCTCGAGTCGCGTTCTGTAAAACATCAGAAAACTATCAGATTCTATACATTATATAAACTCATATATGTTTTTTACAATCACCTTTTTTCAGCCAAACTTATTGGACGACTACAGCAAGACGGAACCCTCAAACCTTCAGCGTGAAACAGTTTATTTATGTGAGCACTAGTCGGCCGTAGCGGATAAATACAGAAAACGCGATAATAGATGTAAGTAAAGGTTTTAGGTTTTCTTTTCGTTTTAGCTGTAACTGTCCATTTTATTTGACGTTTTACAATTATTACCCTTTCCTTAAGTGTTCTTCAGGCGGTTAACTACTTCAAAATCATTTGTGAATTAAAAAAAAAAAATTAACGAATTTTAGTAATTATTTAAAAGTGTAAACAATTTAAAAATCAAAATAGAAGAAGAAAAGGGGGTTTAAAAATACCGTTTATGCACCTTTATTTTACACAGCTGATTACTAATATAGCTTCTTGATGACACTTCATCTTTCGACTATTCACTGAACAATTTTTTTTTTTTCAAAACGCCGAAAATTTTTAATAATGCTAATTATGCCTGTACTCGAATTGCATCCAAATTTAGTTGTTTGAGAGGGTACCCTCAAGACACACATATCACTTACAGTTTTTTAGAAATTATATTCACTATTAGACTACATGCACAAGTATTCTACTCATTCTAAAAATCAATTGTGTTATTATATTTATCAACGGAACCCGTTGATAAATTGGAGGGTCGATGAATACTAGCGTTTCTCGCAGGATGGATTAATAAACGGCAATAAGTGTCAGGACGACTTTACCTGCCAAACAGTTATTACTAGAGGGGTCGGCTGAGGTTTGTGTCACACACCAGCTCTGGCAATCGTCATTCGATCACGATGGCTTTACTCGTTCGGTCACGAATTTCTTTTGCCCATTTTTAGTGAATTTCCCATCATAAAAACAGTTTCGTTTGTGTGTTTGTGAATTTCCTACCAAAAAAACAATTCATCATGTTCAAAATCTATATTGTCATATCGGTTGCAGTGCTATCGCTTTGGTTGGACATTGGTACCGCCACGGGTGGATCTCGGCTTCAACACGAATATACTCACGACGACTATGTTTATGCCGTGCTATCAGCAAACGTTGTCAACTTTACCATCGTCGATAAAAACCAATACGTCGAAATTACATTGTTAGTAGAAGGCGTAGGTCTCACGAAAGATGTAATGGTGCGTACGACTTCAGCTTTTAAGGGGCGTGGATCATTATGCTTCACAGATCAACAATATAAGTATGCCGACTCCGAGAGAAACTCGTTTGAAATAGTAAGTCCGACATTTATGTTTTTAATACTTCGAATATGAATAATATCGGCTTGTACATTTTTTAAATACCATCGTACCCGTGGAGCATTACTTTTAACAAAACAATTCCAGTTAGTTTAAAACTGATATATTTTGTACATATGTATGATACAATCAAATTGTAAACATCAATTTAGTATTAACGAAAAAAAAAAATTGTTAAAAGATGAAGTGGCATACTTACAATTTTTTTTTTCAGAACGCCGAAAAAATTGAGTAATACTAATTATGTCTGGACTCAAATTGCAACCAACTTTAGTTGTTTGTGAAGGTACCTCAAGTCACACATATCACTTACAGCTTTGTATATAAATTAGCCCTAAATTTTACTTATGGTATATATAAATACAGATTGTAAATATTTAAAAAAAAAAAATGTATAAAGAAAATTATTTAAAAAATGCAAAAAATACAATAGGTCAAACCAAAATTATTTTTTTAACCATTTTTTTTAAAAATTACTTTTTTGATTTTTTTTCTTGTACTAGTTTTCTAGCATTCTTTAATTGATAATAGCTAAAATTAAAGATATAAAATTGCAATAATTTAACTTATTAAAAAACTGTTTGTCCACTGGACACCGGCCTGTCACCGTTGTGCCTACATCCCCACAATAAATTACAAGTGGTTTATTTGTAGAATTCAGTAATAATTATAGTCTGTAATAACCGTTAAAACTAAAATACTCATTAACTGGAACCTTGCATAGTTTATGTCATACATATTGGCAGCTTGCAACAGTTTTTAAAAAATAATGAGTAATTAAGTATGAATAATAATAAATGTTACTGAATGTGTTGTATCTACAATTGATACTAGTTACCTTGAACCCAATTTTTGCAAGTTAAAACACCGATAATATAAGTATACATATATCATTAAGGAACCCTTAATTGTGAACTCAATGAAGAGTAGAGACTGTGTACACATTATGACTTCCAGTTTTTTAGAAATTATATTCACTTACAGACTTCATGCACAAATTAAACTCATTCTAAAAATCAATTGTGTTTTAATTTTACATAATTCTAAATATAATGTTATTTTACCGATTAGTTGCAGAATAGCTGTCCAAATACTGTTTAGGCTAAAAATACTGTCCTAACAGTCTGGAACCAATTTTTAAATTAAATGTTAAAAACTTCTAAAAGCTGAACTTTGACATTGCTTAATCAAGGAATAATTTTTCAATTGTTAACTCCTAACATCATTCTGATCTAGTTACTCCATCCATTAGTTACTTAGTCGATCTTCTTGAACACACAAATCTTGTAACCCTATGCTATAGGTTACAATAAAATTGGTCCTGGTTCAGTGTTAACTTAAGCTTGTTTGTTTAATAACAAACAGTGAGTAAAACTGTACATTTTTAGTATAATAATAGTCAATACCTATATTATAATATTTTAGCAATATGCAATGTGTCGAAGAGGTTTGCCATTATATTTTATATTAAAACAATTACTTTTTTTAACGACAAACATAACTGTCATAGGGTACCAAAATTTTGGACATACCTTCAAGCTATTCCAAAAAGATCCTAAGCGTGATACCAAATATATATTTAGCTAACGATAAGCAGTGTGTCAAAGCGTGTTAACATTGCAACCGTCTTGATTGCATTAGTACATACGAATCAAGAAAAAAGTGTAACATTTCATACGTTGTTTATTCAAGTCTGTAGTAAAGACAATGGGTAAACTAAATTTCAATTTTCTGTTCAGCACATCACAACTGTTTAACACAAGAAAAGTTTAATCAATTATGTGTAATCCGGTATAATTATCGTTTACAACAGCGAATGGTGAAATATACGGTTTACTAAATTACAAAGCCGATAATAGTTTTTAAATCTTGGCTACCGACAACCTTGATAAATGCTCGTTTTTTACAATTATGGTTTATTATACACATTGTATTTGACCAAAAAACGTATATCGTTCTTGTTATACATTATAATACGTGACATTCGGTGATGTCATATTTCTTATTACCTTTAACACGGACAAGACTATACGAGTACACCATTTCATGTCGGGTATGTTAACAATGTGTAAGTCATAATATAAGGTTTTTTATTATATTCGTACGAATAGTATACCGTATTTACACCACAAACGCATCGGTTTAACGAAAAAGATGTAATAGCATAAAAGCTTTCTTTTCGACAAAGACCAGTGTTTTTTTGTTTTTATTAAGTAAAAGAATCGTGTCAACAACAAAGTCACCGGTCTATCGGGACTCAAAAAACGTACAATACGAAATACTAGCCGGCGTCTGCACTCGCAACCAATCGATACGTACGATTGAATTGAAGGAAAAATATTAAGTACAAATTTGTAATACCTAGTTTTTTAATTATACAAAATTATTAACTACGAGGCACGAACAGCAAAGTATCCGAAATGCGAAATGAAAGAAAATAGTGATAAACGACTGGGATAGGGACGGCAATTGTTATCTAGCATGGTTAGGTCGAACTCGGTTATAAATGATAACGCGGTAACTGATAAGCCGTACACACTTCGTACGGCGGTAAACACATAGTTTATTCAAATATTATAGGATTTTCTTGTGAACAAAATATTAGAGCTCATAACAAAAAACAAATTAATAAACACATTCAATCGAATAGTATGTAGTTTTCTCACTTCCTTCGATAAAATCCATTTTTAAATAGTTAGAGTATTACAAAATGCGATGCTGTAAATATTTTATACAGCAACATGTACGATATAAAATACAGTATGTATATATAGGTATTGTTAATTAAATAAAAGTTAGCTATAAAATTACTTTTAACGAAACAATATAACATAGTTTATTAATAGTATCTGACGATTTTTTACGAAAACTTAATTACGATAGTTAAAAAAAAAACGAAAATTCACAACTCATATGTATCCATAACATATTAAACGGAAAAATAATTCGGCACTACAGTTTTTTTTTAATAGCCGGAAAACTGTGTTTTCGCAGATTGCGTATATTTTAACAAAAAACACTTAAAATCTTAAAAAAATTGTTATCAAATCATTAAAACAATTTTATGTAGATCTATGCAGAATGATACTATTGAGTTTTGTGCTCAAGTAACACTTTTGACTTTAAGTTGACACAAAGTTCAATTTTTTTTTTTTTTTACTTAAGTTCTTTCTGGCTGATTAAAATTGAGAACTGATAACAAATTCGTAATCACCGACCCCAAAAACATATAATTTGACCCCTTTTGATGCCTTTTTCACAAAAATCCAGAAAAATGTTTTAGCTTCGATGCAAAGCGAGAAGGTATTGGCTTTACTCTGATGTGTGTTTTTTTTTTATCTGTATACACTGTAACTTCTTTAATACTGGACCAATTCCTTCGAATAGCAACTCTATAAATCGCAATTTTCATCTAGTTGGTACTTTGGGGGGGGGGGGGGGGTAAAAGTTGAAAAAGTTTAACTCTTCACAGGCGAAAGTTGAAAAAAAAAAAAAAAAACCGTACGAGTTTTTAAGTTAGAACTTTTACTGGCTATAGCTTCGAGAAAAAGAGTCGGATCGAGTTGAAATTTATAAGAAATATTTATTTAGTATGCCCGCGCACGTCAGTTATATCAAATTTGAATTTAACCCAATGCCCACCCCCCCTTTACACAAATTCAATTTTTTTTTTTTTTAACCGAAAACCCGGTGTACCAGATGTGAGAAACGAACAGGCACTAAAAACTATCAGTTGGTAACGTCTATCCGTGTTAGATT